TTTAGCTTATCTTAGCCACCCTTGTTCGCGTCCACCGCAACAAACTGCTTGGTGGAAACTGGCAGAAGTAGCACGCGCATGCTCAGTGTAGCTGCACACCTGTCATCTACCGTGTGAACAAACAACGTGGGTGGAAAACTTTGACATGAAAACAGCGTTTTCAAACACGTCTGTTCTAGTGTGGACAAGGCTTTAGATAACTGTAATGTCTGTCACTTGCAGGGTGCTTTGGATCGTTTTGAAAGAACAGTTTGAAAGAACTAAATGAGTAGTAAGTTCCCTTTCTGGAAATGCGCTTTCTATCTAGTTAATGTTTGCAACACTTTGCAAGGTGCTGTTTGGTGTCATTTTAAGAGAAGAAAACAAAACTGTCCAGTGAAAAGGTCAGGTCAGTGAGACATTGTTTTGGCATCGAGCAGTAGTACTCGAGAAGCATGGGCTTATTATTAATACTTCATTAAAGTAAACTAATTAACTTTATTAATTACTAAGACCATAATACTGTGATATATTTGGATCAATACCACACTGATCCTGACTCTATGAGAGAGAATTTAAGTTATAAACTCTCAACCAATAACTTGTTATCAGTCCAATAACCTGTTATCGCTGTAATTGCTTTACTTTCCTGGAGGTGGGGGGGGGGCTCTTTATTTCCAGTATAAACATTAAATCCTGGGCTTTAATTTATTCCAGACTTTGAAGTCACAGTGAAAGCAAGTGAATCACTTTATAGCCCAACCATAGACATGCGTTGACATTTCTCTAGCCCTTATGTTTTAACCTACCAAGGTCAAGTAGATATTACTGTGTCCTTTAAACACTACTGAAAAAAGTGATGCATTGGACTGACTAAGTAAACTGAAGAAAATAGATAACATCAACAAAGCTTTGTCTTTCAGTTTACTTAAATTTGGCAGTAACCATACAATAGTTATATACATTATTCATGTGGAAATCAAGTCATTTTAATGCCTAACTGTAGCACACCATGTGCTGCCCTGAGAGGAAGAGGATGCTGGAGTTGGTCATTTTCCTTTTTATTTTCACACAGAACAGAAAACAAAAACCACAAAACCAAATGCCAGGACACTTTTCAGTGACTTCTAGATAGACTTTCCAGTCCTTTTCTCACACATGAGCTTTTCAGCTTGTCAGTCTTTTTTGCTGCTACAGCTACACCTGAGCCGAGACTGAAAGAGAGAGCTTGCTGCTCCGCCTCCCTGCCACTGCCTCCCACAAAGGCCCAGCTGGAACTTTTAGAAAGGGTTGGCTAAGTAAGACCGAGAGATATTATTGGGGGCACACTGCTAAGAACAAAAAGTGTTAGCGACTGTACATGACTAAATCTGTCCATCATTTCGACATCAATCAAAAATTACATCAATACAACTATGGCCAAATGTAAACTGAAAGACAAATCTTGTTGATGTAACATGAGTTATTTATGTATTTTCATTAGGTAAATTAAATGCATCATGTTTTTCAGTGCACAACATTAACTTAAGAAAAGCATTTCTTATAAGCAGGCCCTAGAAGTTATTCATTTAGGCTGCATTCACCACAGATTTTTAGATACATGAGTCTATGGTATTCTCAAATCACTCGGGTGGCACCCCTCAAGGGTACGTCTTCAGTACCTTTAGTTAGGGAATGTAATTGTGCTATATTCTGTTAGAGTTATTTTTTTCAGTCGCATTGACTCCATATACCCTGTTCTGACTCAGTCTTTTTTTTTACTTTTCTACTTAAAATTGTGCACATTTTCATTGGGAAAGTGAATGTACTAAAAACTCTTTTAAAGTACATAGTTGGACCTTCATACCAGGTACATTTGGGTGTACATTTACATTATTTGTACCTGAACAGTACCCCTTTTTCTGACAGTGTATGATCGGAAGGCTTGTATCCCCAAAAAGTCTTGTATCCCCAAAAAGTTAACTTTACAGGAGAAGGAAAATACCTTATTAACTTTCACTGGGAGTTAATGGAACAGGATTTTCTTCCTACTACTTTTTTATTGGTCTATTCATCAGATTGTAACAAAACATAAAAAGCAACTGGCATTTTCGAATTATGTCAAGAAATGAAAAACAGCAAAAATGGAGAGACAAGGGTTTGTCCCAACAGCAATGATTTGGTTCGTTAGGGAACCAAAAGTGAACCTTTTTAAAAGAACCTTTTAAAAATGATTCTATGTAGCACCAAAAATGCTTCTGCTATTGTCACAAGTCATAGAAACTTTTAGCTTAGTACTACATCTCACCCTTTTTCCCAAGAGTGTATTTCAGACTGAGAAAACATAACTCTGTTTGAGAATTTTCCTTTTATCACTGAAATGTAACACTGAAGCCTGCCATTGGAAATGATCTTTAGTGGTTTAGATGTTTTCTTATGATCAGGCCAGAACACTGTTGTACCCATTGTGTAACAGGCACTTTTCTCTGTCCCCTGATAGATTGTTTTGGAGTATTGTTTAGGAAAAGATTCATTTTATTGACGTTATCATCTGCTATGAATCTCCCATGAGGCAATGCAGCTTCCAAATAGTGCTTACGCTTTTTCTAATGAAGAGTGGCACACAATTCTTCGAGGAATTATTTTTCTGTGGAACTGGTGGCCAGTCATGCATGTAAAACCTACACACACACACACACACAAACCAACACTCTCTTTCTTTCTCACACTCACAAACAAACATAGAACCTATTCACAGTATAATAGAAGCTGCTTGGAGCTTTCACTGTTTATTCCCATTTGTAAGACTTGGGCAAAAGCACTACTACACATTAATAAAAGCCAAACAAGCTAATCGCTGATTTAACTCTGCTGATTTAAAACGTAAAAAAAGTAAACCTGAATTCGTTCACACATTTTAAAGCCACTAAATGATTAGGGCTGAGGTTGTGTAGTGTTGAATTAAGTTAGTTCCTAAATGGTTCTTCTGGAGGTTTTAAGACTTTTAGAGTTTCTTCACACTAACACATCTCATTTATAAACATGGTTCTTTAAAGAATCATCCATTGAATAGCAAAGTGTCGTACGTGTATAACATCACTCTGAAGAACCCCTTCTGGCACCTTGATTTTTACTTATAATGTATTTGAACACGGAAAAGATTCATTAAAACCTGTATTTCTACAATTTCCCATGTATCTTTTCTCAGTCCAGATGGCTGTTTGACAGTAGTTTTTAGAGCAAAATAGCTGCCATAGTTAAAACTGCATGTTTCAGTTTTATATTTTGTAAGAGTTATTTCTCACTGGTAGCAGAAGAAACTCTGCTGAACGTTCAGTTTCTAAACTTTCAGACTGTACCATCTCTGTGTTTGTAAGTAGAAGTGGAGATATTATATTGTGATCTGAATTTGATAAAGTTGTTATTTTGTTTTATGGAAAGATAAGTCATACTTTACATTTTTGCCATATTTTGTCATATGTCGATCTGAAAACAAATAAAAAAAGTCAGATGTGCAGATTTAATGTGCAGTTGATCCTGAAATATATAATTACATATATAATACATAATTATTTGAATGGTACAGCAAAATGAAAGCAATTGCTTAATGCAGAGTGTTAAAGAGTTTTTAAAAAAATGAGATTTGAGCTAAGAAAGTGAATCAAATGGTCGAATTACAAATATGGTTCACTTTTGGTTTACTAAAGAACCTTTCAATTATGGTTCTTGGCATTGGTTCTCAAACCCCAGAGACTCAGAGACTTCCAGACGGTCCACATTTATACTCCAATGCCCAAAAATGTGGACAATCTGGGGGTACCTGAGGAGGTTCTTTACCTAGTATTTATTTATTTATTTATTTATTTATTTATTTACTATTATTTTTAAGAGTGTATATTTATTTAAACTGTTTTTGGCCTCTAAAAATGTAATTGTGAGAGGCTTTAATTAATGTGTTGGATTTGGTAGCATGGCAGCTGGATATAAATCAAGCGTTTCTTGATGTAAACGGTAGTTCTTAACTAATGAAGGCTTTGAAGTTTCTGTGGAATGCACGGTGAGTGCCAAACAGTCCCTAGGTGCTGATGAGCATTGTGTGGGGTTTCTGAGGAATTACAGGAACTGACATGCTTTGATGAATGATCAAGTGTTATTAAACTTGCAATGCAGTGCAATTACATATGAAGTGACAGTAACAGTTACAGTAAAACAGTGTAAGACTTGAAATCTTTATTGAACATTAACCAGAATGAGCCATTGACTTCTGACTTAATACCAACACTAAAGGACTGTAGCTTGATGTGAAATCTCTTCATCTGTCTATGGTGGCAGAAATATTGAATTGAACTGAAATGAAGGGGATTGAATTGAAGTGAATTGAACTGAATTGGATTGAATGGAAGGCTGGTTATTGTCATAACAAAATTGTTTTGTATCTTCTCATAATGCATAACATCAGTCAGTTCAATATAAGGATTATGAACACTCTTTGTCTGGTTCTGTGGTGCCTTTGCATCGGTGTGAATGCTCAGGCTTGTTTTCTAGGAGATTCCTTCATTTGTTGCATTTACCTCACTGTTCTGTCATTTTGACCTCTCAAATGAGTTCATTCCAGTCAAGCTGAACTTGTTAACCCTACAGAGAAGGTTAAATTCACCTGCTTAACTAGAGTAAACACAGTAGAGAATCTGTGCCTGAAATTTAAAATGTGGCTCATGCAGTCAAGATGAACCTGCCATGAATGTCATCTGATGTGGTAATGTTGGAAGATGGGAATTAACTAGCAAATGCTGGTGTTTTTTTACACTCATACATCTCATTGAAAGATTCTCCTGGAAACCAAAAGTGTTTTTCTGTGGCACTGATCCAAAGAACCTGTTTTGGCACCTTTTGTTTTTAAGAATGTACAGTCAGTGCTGTAACTTCCTTTACAATAAAAACAGATGCATCAATGTAGTTTGAAGAATGGAAGCTGTGGCAATATTTGATAGATTTTTTCGCTGTTAATATAATTTGACTTTTGATGTGTTCCCAACCTGCAGGCCCCAAACTTGCTGTGAGAGGACACAGCTGGAAACAGTTGTCGAGACTACAGATTACCAAGAGAATAGCTTTCACAAGATAGAGATGATGACATCGGCAGGTGGGAAGATTCAGAGCCCGTCCAATGGCACGGCCCACTCAGGTGAGACTGACTGACGTGTACATACTTATTGTGCTTCTGATACCTGCTTTTAATATCATCATATAATTTAAGACTTAAATATCCTCACTGTTATGTTGAAACCATGAAATTACATTTTGAATTGGATTTCTTTAGAAAAGTCGTGAATGGAACCACAATGTCTACAACACAAATATGGCCATTTTATTTACAATCCAGTGAACCTACATGTGTCTTCTGAGTTTTATATGTAATATTGAATATGGTAACATAGTGGTAAGTCCAAAAAAAAAAAAAGTTTTCTTTGGGTACTATTGACTATTTTGCCTTACCACACCCTGAATGAATCCCTCCACACTTTAAAAAATACATTTCACTCCAAAAAAGAGATGGGTACGCTCACTTTTTTCAGTGAGCCAAATTAATTGGCTGAGCTCACTAATAGGAGTCAGCTCATTTGGCTCCCAAATGGCTCCTTATTCGGTATCACAGACAGTTTTTAGTTCCCAAATTAACCAAGTTAGTGAAAATATGTATGTTGGATATATGCATATAATTTTCAATAAAACCTTATTCTACCTTCTAAATTACAACTTAAAGCAGTATGATGTAGGATTTGTTGTTAAGACTGAAAGAACTAGCATTACTGAGTCAGAATAAAAGTCGCCTAAGATAGTCATTTAAAAGTCAGAGTTGTCTGGTGGGATTTTGAGTTTTTCAGGCCATGTCATACATTTTCATGTATTAACATGACACACACAGGGTCAAAAAGAAGGTTTAGGTTTCAAATGCAAAATCAACATTATACTGAGGACGATATGAAGACAGTAGTAAGAGAATTTTCTTACATCCTCAGAAGACACGCCCATCAACCAGTCCTCAAACTAACAAGGCACTCTTAGAAACAAGATTAAGTATTACATAAATAACTGCCATGAACAAAACCAGAGACGAACTAACACACAAAAAGCAGGTTTGTGGATAACGAGGGGTCGGAGCCAGAATATTCCAAGGAGATCCAAGTTGGATGATTTGCAGTAACAGCATCATAAGATCTACCCATTTGTTTTGTCTTCATTCACCATAAAAAAAGACAATAATAACAGTGCAAGTCGACATGTTGCTGAAGAACACAATACTACTCCACAGCCTTATTTCAAAACTATCATAAACCAATATCTCAGGCATCAGGCTGCGTATTCAAAACCATTTCATGTAATAGCTTTCTATAATATAGCTTTTAGCGGCAATAAACACTTCAGAGGTGCGGTTCCTATCACCACTGCTGTGAATATTTCTGTTGCAGTAAGTTTCACAAGAATGCTTTTCACATCAAACCACTCTGAATGACTTTGTTTACATGTTAACAATTTAATTATACAGACATTTTTCACCTCTTAAATAAAATATGAAAGTGACAATTGGTCTCCATACCTCATGTTCAAAAAGAATTGCAAACATATTGTATGGGGAAAAAAGTGGGAAATTCATTTTATGTCATTTCTCACACTGCTGAGTGAAATGACATTGTCAGCTTAATGCTTGCAGTTGCCGGATATGTCACATGTGTTATGACTCACCCTGCCTATACTGCAGGATGACTCAAACTGTATTAAAGAATGAGTCATTTCATCAAAATATACATCAGTATGTGCCACGTCAATCTGTGCAAATGTATTGTTCTATGTACCGTTATTAGGTAATGAATGACCTTGTCGTCATCATCTCGTCAGAGTTATTTAGCTCAACAGTGGTTTGTTTGTGATGAGTTTAAGTAAAGGCGTGTGTAAAGATTTGACTGCAGCTGTTTTGGGTGTGTGTTAATGGCATGGTATGAGTCAGCATGCCCTCTGTGGTGATGATGTCATGACTGTTGTAATGATGTAATGAGATTAGTCCTAAAGGAGAGATTAAGACTGTAAGATAGAGATAGACACATAGGCAGAGAGAGTGTAATTTGTTCATTCATTTGCACTCATACTGGAACACAAGTGAATGCAGCAGTGGAGTAGTGTGATAAAAACACTAATGCTGTGATCAGTAAGTGAGAAAACAGTACTAACATTAACTGTCAACACCTTAAATGTGTTAGAAGCATCACTGAGTACAACATTTGCCACATTTATTGATCTACCTTGAGCATCATGTGTTGTAAAAAAGGGTTGATTTTTACTATTACAAAAATGAATGAAGAAAAGACACCTGGAAAGGTTTTGTTAGCAGAAAGTAGTTATATTCTAATCCTTTATATTTAGCTTCAACACTGCATCATGTTCGTTAAAGTGTCTTCCTTTGTATAAAGAGAGAGTTTTAGACAGCACTTAAAATTGTTTAATATAATACAATATATAACATTAAAATAAATACAAATAAAAAAATATATAAAGTAAAGCATAATATGATGTTTTTGTCACAGTTCTACAGTTACTGCACTCTGGTCATTGCATGGATTTGTTCAATTCCACCAGCAGCACCTGATTTAATTGAATAAAGGCCTGATTAGATAAACAAGGTAGTGGATGGTCACTGAAAATACTGGATTTTCTCGAGGAAAGTAATGGTGAACAAATTCAGACATCAAATCACGGTATTATTTTATAATCTATTCTTTAAGTGTATTCACAGTAATATTAGTATATTTTTGAACAAATAAGTGCTTACCTGATAAATAGCTTTGCATTTCATTACATATCGAGTGCCTAAGAGATCCTTCATGTATTTAATTTCCAGTCAAAATGGCCATTAAGTACAAGTACTTTATTCTGGAAATATCTCTGAGGAGGTTAGATATAAGATAATTCACTTGCATACAGAAGAGGAAAGTCAAAGAAAAATGACAGGAGTTTCCCAAACCTAAGTTCAAAAAATGATCAAAGAATACTTTAAAAATGGGACTCCTGACAACTATGCAAGACCTGGAAGACCACCAACACTGTCGCCATCACGTAAACAGTGCTTAAAGCTTTCATCTTTGAGAGAGAGGAGAAAATCAAACTCCACTTTTGTTTCAGATCTGAAAAATCTACAGTTTCTGTCCATCCTTCCACTGTGAGAAGACAACTCAATGCTATGAGACTGAAAGGATGTGTAGCTGTCAAGAAGCCCTTACTGAGAAAAAGGAATGGACAACAAAAAGAAGAAAACTTGCTAATTAATCAGAGTAACTGCTGAACTTTGCATGTGGGGAAAATTATCCCTTCATGAAGAACTGAAAGCAAGACTCCCTAAAAGAATGGGAGCCGTAATAAAGGCAAAGTGAACACATTAAATCCTGAAAAAAGTCATGTTTAGTTGTTGAGGCTTCTGTGTAATTTTCTGTTAAATATACGTTTTTGCACTTAACTTGCACGTAATGGCCATTTACACTGAAAATTAAATAAATGAAGGGTGGTCTCTGACTATTGCAGCAATTTAATAAAATACTTTAGTTCATACATTGATAGGCATGTGCACAGATAGACACTAGCATATGCCCTTTTTTACACACAACACCCCCCCAACCCAGTCCTCCATTGGCATGTGTATATTCACAGACCGATATACACATATGTCCTTGTTGCACTCTGAGCATATGCCACTTAATGGACAGCCCTGAGAATTGAAATGCATGAATCTAAAAGGAAGAGAAATTTGGCGCCTATGCCTGGGGCTGTGAGTGAGTTATCAGTGCAGCCAGTTGCAGTTCCCTTGCAGAGTGATGCATGAAGTAATTTGGGTATTGCAGTCATGCACCATGGCTAGTAGTTAGCACTAAAAAAACATTGGGTTTTCAGTGGTAGTGCTGTCAGATAATGTGTAGATGTTGTGTAGACCACATGTAGATAATGTGTAGATGTAGATGAATGCTATAAAAAGTAACTTGGCTGCCTTGTTTTGAATTTATTGAAATGACTGAATTTAGATTAGATCATTGTTCTTACTAACAGAATTTTCTCTCTTTCTCTCTTTTTCTCTCTCTTTCTCTCTCTACATCTCACAGATATGGAGTATGGAGAAGCAGAAATGGACTTTAACTGGGATGAGTATTTGGAGGAGTTAGGGGCCACTGCAGCCCCCCACACTTCATTTAAACATGTAAGTCTACAAGTCAACACGCACACATACACACACACTCACAGCTACTAAGCCAAGTGTACTTGACACATGGATGGTAGTCACTTATCATTGCTGTAATAATAAATCAACAATGAGACATTTGTTCTAGTAGGATATACTGTTCTTAACTTTAACCCCTTAAATGGCCAAAATTCTATTACACACTTCAATAATCTAGGAACAGCTCAGCTAGTTTGCATTGGAGCCCCTGTAGTTTCTGAATAATAAGACTTAGTATTTAATAAGCATGGGATTTTAAATATACAGTAACTTTGCATTAACTTTTAAATACTCAGATGTAAAGGGCAGCCTTTATTTGCAAATTTGAACAAAAATGATATTGTCCATTGTTATTATGTAATATAGGGGTGTCTGATCTCATCTGCAAAGGGGAAAGGGGCATTGTGGCTGTAGGTTTTCATTCCAATCAAGCAGGAGCACCACTGACTCTACTTGTTTTTTCAACTGGTCTTAGTCAAACAACTGATTGGGTGTGCTCCTGCTTTGTTGTAATGAAAACCTGCAGCCACGCCAGCAGTTTATGGATTAGATTGGACTCCTCTTATGTAATACATTAGGATAGGTCAAAATAACTTGACAAAACATCAACTCTGGAGTGTTCCACTAACCTCTCAAAGTAAGATCTGTGAGAAAGGATGGAGTGGTTTGGAAAGTGGGGTAATCCAGGCTCTGATCAAAACACAGGACCCAGCCATGAAGAGACAAGAAGTTCTCTGACGGCTTCTGATGGACTCTTAGAGACTACAGTAGTTTAGTCTCAGATATTCTATCAGTAGATACCCAGTGAACATGTCTATGTGGACCCCATAGGAGTTTTAACTGACGTGCGTGGGTTTTACCTGAGCATAGGCTTGTAGTGGACTTTTTGACAGGTAGTATGTCAGCCAAAACTGGGTTATAGCCATGAGCCCCAGCTGTGTTACATTGTGGGCCCTAGTTGGGTTAATGTTGTGGGCCCCAGTCAAGCTGCCCATGCCTGAGTCTTGCAGGGGTCTTATTTATACAACCCTTTTCCAAAAAAGTTGGTTTGCTGTGCAAACTTGTGTAACATCTAGCTAAAATGCATCTAAGACCACAGTGGTTCGAGCATTCTGAGGTCAGTCTGCATGGAGATACACACACACACACTATTATGTGGCTCTGCTGTATGTTTGTGACCATTCTGCAAACAGCAGTTCTAGCAATATTCCAGGTAAAATGAATCATATTTATTCTTGAGCTTCCGCAAAAAAATAAATAAATACTTTTGACTGTAAAGCACAGGATTCAGAGTTACACTGAGCTCATTGATGATAGTCATGTTATGGCTTACAGAGTGGTCAAGAATTTTCCTGAGCAGTAGTAGAATAAAGGGTTAAATTCCCATGATTATTTTGAATTAATCTGAATTTTACATAAAAATGACAATAATAAGTGGTGAACCACGACTACTAAAGCCGAGCCTTCAGTTCAGGCCATAAATGCCAAAACTCTGTAAAATGCACCTATACGATATTGCAACTTTCTAATAGTGTCACTATGAGATTCTGGTAGTACATTAGTGCTAAGCTAATGGCGATTCATTTCAATATTGTTTGGTCTTTCTCGATTAAATGTGGACATTTGAAGCTTGTAAAAGACATTTCATGATGCATTTAAAGCTTGTAACAGCCATTACCATATATTTTACCTTGTAGTAGTTTTATAGTTAAAGAGTTCTGGCATAGAGCTGCCATCACTGTTTACCATTTTGTACATTTGACTGAAATACATTCTTCAAGCTACCACTTGTTCCAGAACACTTGTGACATTTTTTCTTGTGAAATTGATTTTACCCATTGTAAAAAAACATGATTGGTTGGTTCCATTTTCAGATCCTAATTATGTTAGTGGTTAATCTGACATGTTAGGCCTTCAGTTCAGTTCCTGAAGACCTAATCAATAGGAGAGCTCAGTTGGCTGTCTCCATTTAAATACCACAAAGAAAAAATCCTGACTGGGCAATTTTCTGTTGGCCGATTTAACCCTTTTGTTTCCAACCAAAACTTGAATGAAATAAGAGTGTTGTTACAATATTTGCAGAGTTCAAATATAGTATGAATGATGATTCTCTTAAATAAAATGAGCTAAAAATAATGTATGTTTTATTTCACAGAACTCATTTGGCCTTCTCTCAGGGCCTAGAAGGCCCAAAGAGTTTCCCAATGATAATACTAAAATAACTTAATATTCCAGGTTTTGTAGAAATTAACCAGTAACATTCCTGACATTACAGTTAAAATTCAGGGTTTTAGTGGGCTTTGTTGATTATACATGCTAATGCTAATGCAGTGGTCACAAAAAAAATACCTGCCAATGAAAGTAAGTCATCTGAATTGTCTTCACAGGTGGAGCTCAGTCTTCAGAGCAGCTTTCAGCCAGGAATGAAGCTGGAAGTGGCTAATAAAAACTCTCCAGACACATACTGGGTGGCGACCATCATAACCACGTGTGGTCAGTTGCTATTGTTGCGCTTCTGTGGTTATGGTGATGACCGCAAAGCTGACTTTTGGTGTGACGTCATGACTGCAGAGCTTCACCCTGTGGGCTGGTGCACGCAGAACAACAAAAGACTGCAGCCACCTGAAGGTAACATACACACCCATACACAAACAATACGAACACACCTACACACACCCACACACACACACACATAAACATACACACTGCAAACACACAAACACATCTTCTCAAAGACCTACATGAATTATTCATAATCAATTCTTCAGGACTGTGTGAGATAAATACAAAACAAATTTGTTCCAGGATATATTTACCCACTTCAAAATGCTCTCTCGCTCTCTCTCTCTCTCTCTCTCTCTCTCTCTCTCTCTCTCTCTCTCTCTCTCTGGCAGAACTCTGTGGCAGAGTTCGCTAAGTAGGAGAAAAACAGACTTTTTTATCTATTTCAAACTATGTGTTTGTCTATTTCAAACTGTGACTCATTGGGTCAAAATAATAACTTATTTTTGACTAAGTGAGTCAAAGTAATGACAAGGAAAAGTAAACAAAATGAGTTATTAATGGTATAGAAAGTCTGTGATAATTTCAATATAATGAATAATTATTTTAATTATTTAATTATTTTAAGTTCAAATATAGTATGAATGATGATTCTCTTAAATAAAATGAGCTAAAAATAATGTATGTTTTATTTCACAGAACTCATTTGGCCTTCTCTCAGGGCCTAGAAGGCCCAAAGAGTTTCCCACTGATAATACTAAAATAACTTAATATTCCAGGCTTTGTAGAAATTAACCAGTAACATTCCTGACATTACAGTTACATTACAACTTATTTTTGATTAAGTGAGTCAAAGTAATGACAAGGAAAAGTAAACAAAAATGAGTTATTAATGGTATAGAAAGTCTGTGATAATTTCAACATAATGAATAATTATTTTAATTATTTAATCATTCTTAGTTTAAAAATGCTTATTTTTCACTTTCAATTTTGAAAAACATGTTTATTTTCAGCTGGACGGAATGAGTTGAACTGTGTCACATTGTAAAATTCTGTGTAATTTCACTGGGGACACCACAGCACACAATACATTGCATACAGAAGCCACAAAGTGCAGGAATGATGAGGTGAGGAATAGTTTCAGTAAATCAGGGCCAAAGAGTTTCAACATATGCTTTTAACAGTCATTTGGAAAAGAAAACTGTCAAATTATTACAGTTTACAACAGTAGGAAAGAGCCTGAAACCTAGCCTGTTTAAAACAGCAGTTTAACCCCTTTACATTCTAGGCTTATTACAGACTAAGACTTATTGTTCAGTACAGGGACTTTATTGCAAACTGGTTGAGCTTATATAGGTTATAGAAGTGTGTGTAACAGTGGCCAGACGCTCGCAGGAGAGGCTTGGGTTAAGAACTTTAATGCTAAAGGGAAAGTCCAAAATTACAGTTGATAAACAGAAGCAGGGAGTCGAACCAAAAAAAAAACAAAACAGAGCAAAGGGATAAAGCTAGAGTCGAGGTCATAAACAGAAAACGGGTCATACACAGAGTAACACTAAGTAACAGGGGAGAAACACTCAGTATGCACAGTAATGTGATGATACTTCACAGTGAGATGTTTCAAGCAGACTACTTACATGCAAGGTGTGACAGGTGTGTGTGATTCGAAACCCAGTGATGAAGAACGGTGATAGGTTGTTCGGTGAGAGTCCTGAGTCATGTGATGAAGCGAGAGGTTCTAGGAAACGTAGTCAGGAGCGGCCGCGTTGGCTGTAGTTTCAGGCATGTTGGAAGGAGGCATGACAGTGTGTAATAAACCTTTGGGACCAATGGCAGGTCCTGGTCATGTAAGGGGTTAAAACATTGTTTTCCTATAATGCAGTCAGTCAGTATTTACTATCAGTCTTTTTACTATTAGTAAAAGGTGCAAAAAAGCAGGGGCCGCCTCTTTGGTCTTTTTACAGGTGGCAAAGTGCCTTTACACCTATTTAGTAAGTTGCGACAGCCATTTTTTAATGCCAAACTTGAGTTTGTAATAGTACAAAACATAAGTACATCTGCCCCTGTATCTCTATCCTTATCTCTGTCTCTTCTTTCTATCTCCCATATCTCGCTCACTGTCTGTTTATCTCTCTCGATATATATAACTCCTCCTTCTCTCTTTTCGTCTTTCTCTTTCTCTTTCTCTTTCTCTTTGTCCCTCTCTTGCACACACATATTTACTGCTTCACAATATCAACAGCGACCATTAACAGTGGAATCTGCAGCATTCATCATTTGACAGTCAAAGGCTTAAATATTTGCCTGTTCATTCTCAGTGCAGGTGAATGTAAAGCAGCTCTCAGCTGTTTAACTAATAACAGCAGCTACCTGCTGTTTAACTATTAACTGCTTGTGTGTCCACAAACATATTCAGGACACAATAAACGCCTGTTTATTGATGTATTGCTGGCGTTTTCTGTTTGGAGCCATGTTTGCTTATCATGTTTAAGCTGCTCCAGACCAAAAACAATCAAATTTCATAACATGATGCAAGCATTACATAATACTTCTTTGGATGTAGCAATGAAGAAAAACTAAACTTATACCATTTTCCCTAAATGTAGTCAGTCAGCCAAGACATGATTGGTGTCTTGTTTTTTTAGTTATGAGTCTAATGTAGCAACATGGACAAAAATATGGCCAAAATTAAGGAGGCTGCTACTGTTCTCAGCTATACTCTGTACTTCTGTCCATGTTCACAGCAGCATCTCGAACAGTGTCAGACACCACATAACCAAATTTGTGTCTGTTTAACATGGTTTGAGGCGAGTGTGTGGTGGTTTAGACCTACAGTTTGTACAATTTTAACTGTCAGTTATGAGCTTCCATGGGAAAATCATTCACTGAACTGTAAACGCTTTAAACATTTTTTAGTGTGGCTCCTCCTGTTATTTGTAAGAATCATCACTACGCCTATGTATTTGTATTTCACAAGGTTGCATAGCCTGTAGGTATAGAACAAGTCTGGGTAGACTTGTAGGTATTTTACTTCAAAATTACAGTAAATGACTGGCAACTAGTTGCATTACTTTCACAGTAATTTGCTGTACCACAGTAAATAACAGTAAAATAACAAATGTATACTGTGATTTCAGAACCACCTGAACCAAGATTACTCAGGCTGTGGCACTCCAGGATTAAAAAGACTAATGCTGTGGCCTTGTTTGTTAGCGATAGCTAGATCTAGCAGATTTATTTACTTTGTTAAAGCGAGAAAAAAGGTTTCTGCATCTAAAGGTGTACTTCAATATCTGGGTGACACCTTTATGTCGACCTAGCATTTCCTGGTGTCTGGTTTTGAACTGAAGAGTCCAGTTTTGAGCTTAATTTTGGCTCTGATTGGTACTGCTGAGTCTCTTTCTGGCCTGTCACTGTGCTTCTCTCTCTCTCAGCCCTCTTGTCTAAAGGCTACACTGATCTGTAATAGAGTGAGATCAGAGATCTGTTTATGTTAACGCCACTGAAGAAGAGGAAACCTTTTTGCAACTTTATGCATTATAATTGTGAAGATTTCTGTTGACAGGGATATTGATAGTTGAGTATGTTTGTTTAAAAATCATATTTTAGTAATTTGAAGTGGTCAAGATAAGAATGTTTTGCATGTTGAATAACTGTTTTAACGGCACCTCTCTAATCTAACAAATCCTTAATGCTAATACGTAGTTTAAAACTCATCCTAAGACTCATAGATCAGGTGATATGAGTAAAGCGTTCTCCCCGTGCCCCCCGCCCCCCAAAAGTTGACCTAAAACTTTCGCCATTGCAGTCAGAATCAGTCAGAACAACTTTCCAATGACTAGTGTTTCAATAGGAAAATTATTCTGACTGGTCTCTTTCATCCTGTGATGAAGCATTTCAGTCCTGACTGGAGTGGTATCTTCCAGGATGACAGGAAACAAGGGGTCATTGAAAGGTTTGATAAGTATGAAAATGATGCAAATCATTTGCTGTGACCTTCACAGTCACTAGATCTCAACCACCTGAACTGAACACCGGTAGGAGATTTTTGTACCAACATGTTAGACTGCACCCTCCAGCTTTGTCATCAAAACCAATTGAGGGAATCCTCCAGGACAGTCCACAGACTTGTAGAATCTATACCAAAGCACACTGAAACAGCTGTGGCAGCTCATGGTGAGCAAACACTTTATTATGACACTTTATGTTGGTTCCTCATTCGATTTGTCGCTCATTTGTATATGAACCTATAGGTATTTATCTACTTTTGCAGACAATTTAGTTTTGCTCCTCAATTTTAGAGAATTTAGTGACACCTAATGAATGACTGATTATTTCAATGCCACACGCACCACAAAAGCCCTTTCAAGGGCTAATGTAGAAGTAATTGTTCATTTTTGTAACAATAGCCAGAATTATTCCAATTTGTTGCATAGTGACAACAAACAGAGCTAATACTTACTGAGGTAAAGCAGAGGATTGCAGGAAACTGAGTTTGTGCTAAGGAGAATCAAATAAATGTGCACCTGCGATATTTATCAGCTTCCAACTGGGAGAAAAAGTTAAAGTGCAGTTCTGAGTCATAATTACAAGCTGAGTCACACACTTCTACTACTACGCAGTTGGGGTGCAGTTTTCTTTAAGTTCAGGATGTTCTGGGAAATTTGCTTGTGATTAATGTGGCACTGCTAACAGTATGAAAGAACTGTAGTATTTAGCTCATCTTAACTGTTGAAAGAGTAGATAAAGTCATACATCTTTGTATTTTAACCTTTAGACATTGATTCTTATTACTTTTCCTTTGCTATACTATTCAAATGTAATGTGATTGCATGGTGAGTTATGTATGTACATAGTGAGGAGTGGCTGAGGCCTTGTAACAGGCAATTTGTGGCTTGTTATCCCTCTTGTTAATGGGCTCTATTTAACCCCACCTTCCCGGCCTTTAGTGTGAAGCTGTGCACCTACCTGTATGCCTGTCTTGTTGCTAGCCTCTTTGGTTTTTCTTAGTTCTGTACTAATTTCATTGTTAGATTGTTTCTCTTTGTCTGTTCTATTTCTATTTGTCTATCAACTTTAGCGTTAGCATCATCCTTTGCATTATTATTATCATTGACATTAGTCTGTACGTTGGAACATTGGCATTAGCGTTAGCATTTGCTTGTGTATTTTGTGCCTTCTGTTTGTCTTTTTCTAAGTCCTGTTTTTATTGCTCTGTACCTCTTTTTAACACAGCAGTGCTTAGCCTTCTTTTATTCTCTTGTCCGTTTGTATTTAGTTATTGCTCTTTTTCTGCTGTTGTTTTACTTATTTGGTTTCTTCCTTTTTTCCATTAACATCTTCTACAGCAGTATCCATACCCCTCCCAGCCTGGTTTCAAATGACAGGTTTAGTGAATATCAGAATGAGTGGAGCACTGTGATGCTCTGAAAACCTGACCAGTGCTGGGAGTCAGAGAGCAGTTTTCTTTTTATATATTATATGTTTGTACATGTTTGTGGGTCAACTGTCTTTCATGTTCTCTCAAATTGCGCTTATCTTTACCTACTTGTCAATCAAATGTGTTAACCCGCCCCCCAAAGAAACGCAGCCTGCTTCTTTCTAGGCATATGGTGCGTCGCATCTCACATTTGAGAAGGCCTTGTCTGAATGCTCCTCTTTTGGCGCGACAGATGTGTAACCTACACAAGCTAAATGATAATGAGCTGCATAAGATTCAAGTCCTTAATACAGTGATTTGTATATTTCTCCAGAAACAAAGACCACAGTACCATGCTGCACCTCGCTGGTCAGCATTAGCAGCTTTTGGAAAGTTTCACACCAGAATCTGTATAGTTCGAACCATGAAGTTTCAGGATGAAGCGGGAAACTCGAAGGAAAGTTTGCTGGTTGTTTACTGCAGTGCTGCAGGAACAGCAAAGAGAAACAGACCACAAAGTCTGAAGATTTTAGTTTATTTGGGGAAGAATGACATTTGCAGGGGGGCTGAGATGAAAAACCCTAAATAGGGTCTAGAATTACTGTACTTAAGACTTTTTTCTGTTTGTTTCAATGTCAAGAAATGACAGGAACATGGCAAAAACATAAAGGAAGGTTTTTCTTTTTTCTTTGTGTACAGAACAGACTGTACACAACAGTAACCTTTCATCAAATTCAAATCATAAAAAATTATCTCCTCTTCTACTCCCTCAGAAAAAAGGTACTAAACTGTCACTGGAACGGTACCCCTCTTGTCTCTGGGGTGGTAACCTCAAGGGTACATCTCAGTACCTTTAGTCAGGGTACATAATTGTACCATAATCCGTTGAAATCATATTTTCTAAGAGGTATTGACTTCACACACCCCGTCTCATTTTCAGGCGTTTTATTTTATTGTTCTGTTTAAAATATTGGGTTATGAAAAGGTACAAATATGTACTTTTCACCTGGGAAAAACTTATTTAAGGTACACAATTGGACCTTAAGACCACTGTTGTATCTTTGAGGGGAACATTTACATTGTTTGTACCTTGATGAATGAAAAATGTACCTGCACAGAGCCTTTATTTCTAACAGTGTGCTTACAGTCACAAATGTGGTAATGATTGAAAGTTTTGAATCTGCACAATAAACATTTCCCCACTTGCTTTAGTGAGCTATGAGTGACAAATAATCATATGAGTGACAAATAATCCCCTTTCATTCACAATATGAACACAGATCTAACCTTTATTTGAAGTACAATGATTGAAAGGGAAAAAAAAAGAAATCTTTTTCATGAAGTAAATATTTTTCTCAAATATATGTGTGTCAGAATTGTTGGCACCCCTTCATTTAATACTTTGTGCAGCCTCCCTTTGCAAAGATAACAGCTCTGAGCCTATAATGCTTAGTGAGACTGGAGAAGACATGGCAAATGATCTGAGATCATTCCTCCGTACAGAATCTCTCCAGATCCTTCAGATTCTGAGCTTCCTGGCTGAGGAAGTCAGGTTTTAATTTAATATCTGTTGGTACTTGATGGGTCCATGATACCATGTCTCTGAACATGACATGTTGTCCAGGGCTTTTGGAGGAAAAACCACCTCTGGTATTTGTTGCCAACAAGCTCCATTGTGGTCTTATCTGACCGTACACACGGTCCCACTAAAAGTTCCTGTAACATCTGGCAAACTGTAGGCGCTTGAGTTTGTTGACAGCAGAGACTTTCTTCTGGCAACCCCCCCAAACACTTGGTTGTGTAGGTGTTTGATTGTGGTTTGGGAGACGTTCTGACCCCAAGACCTGACTAATGTCTGCAATTCCCATCTGTAATCCCTTGAGATTCATTGGCCACCCAAACCATGGTCAGTATAGGCATATATCCTCTTCCTGACAGATTTTTAACACCTCTAGTTGCTTTGGTTGGCATATTTAAATTCCAGTGATATAATAATGATGATAATAAATGTTGCTGCAAATAGTCGTAATAATAATAATAATAATAATAATAATAATAATAATAATAGTTTGTGAAGGTGTATTTTGTTTAAAAAAAGCAGATTTGATCTTCTCATTGTGCAATTTGTATGTATTATTTGATTAGCACAATAATTAAGCAACCATTTCCTTTGTAGAATATGTTTTGTTCAGTGGGGAGTTGATCAGTTATTTTATAGATGAATAATATAGTATGGGTTGTGGATGATAAGGAGTAATTATCTTTCATGTTTACATTTATAGCATTTGGCAGATGCTCTTGTAGTTTGTTGCCCACTCAGAGAGAATATCTTTAGCTAGTAAAAATAGGTTAAAGTCAAAGATTACCCTTGACCTAAAGACACTGCCAGAAACAAGAGTCAGTGTTGATACCTAAAAAGATACACAAGACAGAAATAAGACATTACAATATAAGACATGAATAACTGCTCTTATTTTCGTCATGCTGTTATTGTTGAGGACAGGCCAACGTAGCAGTGCATTCTAGTTACTTTACCGCATTGCACAGGATGTGAACTAAAGCCCAAACGACACCTGCCACTGTGGACAAATATTTAGACTGATTAAACTGCCGAGCTGTCTTATAAAGAGTTACAGCTGTGTGTGTGTGTGTGTGTGTGTGTGTGTGTGTGTGTGTGTGTGTTCAGTCTGTGTGTGTGTGTTCAGTCTGTGTGTGTGTGTTCAGTCTGTGTGTGTGTATCTGTTAGTCACCTGTATTTCTGTTTGTTTGTTTCTCAGATAACGTTTACCTCAGAGCAGGTAAGCCGAACTCTCTCTCTCTCTCTCTCTCTCTCTCTCTCTCTCTGTATTTCTATCCCTCTATATCTATCTATCTATCTATCTATCTATCTATCTATCTATCTATCTATCTATCTATCTATCTATCTATCTTTTTCTTTCCTTCTCTTCCCCCTCTTCTTTTTATACTCTTTTGCACTCTTCCTTTCTTCCCTGTCTCTCTCATTCTCTCATTCTCCCTCTTTCTCTGTTCCCCTCCTTGCTCTCTCTCTCTCTCTCTCTCTCTCTCTCTCTCTCTCTCTCTCTCTCTCTTTCCATCTCTTCTTTAAAGGAAGTGACTCTAGTAGTTGTGCTTGTCTGTATCACTCTGCATGCTTGGCTGTTAGGTGCACAATGTGTGCATAAGAGAGAGAGAGAGAGAGACAGACAGATAGACAGACAGAATGAGAGGCATTGAATTTGTGTGTGTATCTGCATGGGTGTGTGAGGGGATTTGCATGCATGCTTGTAGGTGAAATATACATGCTTAAAGTAGCTCATAGGTCATGTGGAGCCACGTCTTTGTCTAGCAGGTTTCACAACACACCACACACACATTTACATAGCCACACATGCTTTCCACATTTCTTTGAGAAAGGTTTAAAGGTGTTTACTCTTTCTTGGTTGCTTACCCTGTAAAAATTAAAAGTATTGTTACATCTTGTCAGTATATTCCACAATATAAAATATATCCAAAATATATCATCGCTGTTTTTCAAAAATGCCAGTGGCACTTAATTTTGTTCCAATTTCATAATGAATGGAGCAATAGAAAAATACCTTTTTTCATTAGTGCATTTCCAATATATTACATTTTTGAATTGTGCATTTAGAACAGAATAGATGAAAAAAAGAAAACAGTTCCATCACTTTTAACATAAACCCTGGCACATATTATCATTTTATAAAATTAGATGTTTTTGTTCTTCACTTTCCCCAGAAAGAGGCTTAATGACCTTTGCATTTTTACATAATCACCAGTTCCTGTATTTCCCTATACACTACCAAAAGTCTGGACATTCATACCCCTAAATGTGTCTTTATGGTATAGGTACAGCATCAAAACTGTGAAATAACATATACGTAATTCTACAAAGACCGAAAAAGTGTTAAACTAACTTCTATTTTAGATAGTTTTAGAGAGTAGCCTCCCTTTGACTCCACTCTTGTCATTCAGCTTCAGGAGCCACCTGCTTTTCAGTATTTAATTTCAAGTTAAAACATTCATTAAACACACATTATTTAGAACAAAAACAACTTAGCTGCCTTTAAATTATTTTCTCATGTGTACCTAAAATACCTAAATGAAGTATTTCTGGGACAATCAGATATAAGACAATCCACTTGCATAACAAAGAGGGAAGTCAAAAGAAAATACCGAAACTGGACATCTGAGATGTGGAGTAAGGCTTCATGGACTGATAAATGTGTAACTGAGATTAAAAGCAGAATGCAACCAACTTCTAAGACTGAATTTTCGAGGTGTGGAAAAATATCTGTGTAGATTTCTTTGAAAAACTTAAAGCAAGTCTCTTGAAAAAAAGTGGAAGCTGTTATAAAAGTTGACACTATATATAGATTTTTACTGTGAAATAAATATTGTACACTTACAGAAGTTTTTTACACTATATATTACATTTAATTGTTGAGGTTTCTGTATAATTTTCTGTAAGTATTTTCATATTTAGTCATCAACCTCACTCTTTATATTTGTCTTAGAAACAAATTTCAAGCATAAACCTTTAGATCAAAAAGTCTTTAAGACTATGAGAATGCTGAGAAAACTATAATAATAGTGATGCTGGTGATTCATTTTTGCTTGTTTTTTTTTTCTAAATGAAATGCTTCCCTACAAAAGTGCCTAAAGGCTTTTTAGATTTTACATAACCCACTGTTCCTGTAATATGTGTGTAGTTTTGAAGATCTGAAGTCGAAGTCATTGGAATTAATATATTTGATTTTGAACTGGATGCATGCTGCTGTTAGGATAATGCTGCTGAATTCTCATGGAGCTGCAGTACTGTATCAAAGCATTGGAGAAAAGTGTAATTATGGTGATTTTGATTTTAGGGAGCTGTAGAAGCTTAGTTTTTGTAAAGCTCTCATCTCTCATAAAAGGAAGAGAATTTCAGTAATTATAAGGCTCTGTTGAAAGCCTTGTGTAATGTTTATGTAAGAACACATCAGTTCATTCATTCATACAAATGATGGAGCAAATGCACAAAGACTATAGCAAAGAAAATGTCTTGTTTTTGCTGTATTGATGGCAAAGCTGGGTGACTCCTTAATCCTTAGTTCTAGGGTTCTCTGTAAATCTGTTTATCTGGGCATTTATTTGTTCAAAAAGCACTAACGTTAGAATAAACAAACAAAGAAACAATACATTCTGATTTGTTGTGTGTGGGTGTGTTAAAGTAAGCATTTCCAAAGCTTTCCTCAAGGAAGTCCAGTATTTACACTTACCACTTAATACCTTGTTTATCTAATCAGTCCTTTGTTAAATTAAATCAGGTGCTGCTGATGGAATTTAACAAATGTATGGAGTGGCTAGAGTGTAGCAAAAAGTCAGGAACCAAACCTGTGTTCTTGTATCAAACATATGAATGACTAAAAACAAAAGATTTTTCTTAGGTTTGATTGTATTTAAATGGGGTAAAAATGGGGTTTGGGGAGGGGTGTAATATGTTACCCTGTAATTACTTGCATAACGATGCTTCAAATTTGCAGATGATTTACAAACCCATTTCCAAAAATGTTGAGACAGTAGATAAATGCAAACCAAATTATTGTTTGATTTGTGAATCTACTTTAACCTGTATTTGGAAAAAAAAAGTTTCATTGCCGCATAGTTTTTTGTAAATATTGTGGCTTCGGCATAGAACAAGAAGCGGGAAACTTAGCATATATAGACGAATACTCTTTTATTTTGAACAGGCACTTCAACAGACAGCAAGACACAGTCCATTTTACACTAAAAATATTGTGAAATGTTTAAAAAAACATCTTAAACAGGTGATGCAATAATGTTTGGATATAAAAGAAGCATCAAGGAAAGGCCTTGTCCTTCATGGGCAAGGGTGGTCAAGAATCGCCACTTTGCCAAAATGCATCAGCAAAAAATCCAACAGTTTAAAAATAACTGTGAGCGACTGCAAAGATTTTTGATATTTCACCCTCTACAGTGCATAATATCATCAAAAAATCCAGAGAATCCAGAAAAGTCACTTTGCATAAAGGAAAAGGCTGAAAACTACGAATAAATGCCTGTGATTTTTGATCCCTCGGATGACACTGCATTAAACACCAGCATGTGTCTGTAATAGATATTACCGCATGGGTTCTGGAATACCTTGAAAAAACATTGTCACTAAATACTGTCCATCACTGCATTGCACAAATGCAAGTTAAGACTGCAATGCACAGCAGAAGTAATATGTCTACATGTCTGTAGTTGAGCTCACCTGAAATAGATTGACGCACAGTAGAAATGCGTATTGTGGTCTGACGAGTCAACTTTTCTGATTATTTTTGGACGTAATGGGTGCCGTGTTGTCTGGGCTAAACAAGAACAGGACCGTCCAGATTCTTACTGGCATAAAGTTCATAAGCCAGAGTCTGTCGTGGTATGGGGGCTGCATTAGTGGGAAACGTGCACATTTGAAAGCAAAATTCAGGGACTCCCATGCTTATTGTAAGATGACAACATTGAGCCACATACTGCATGTGTTACAACAGCATGGCTGTGTAATCAGAGAGTGCGGCTGCTAGACTGACCTGCCTGCAGTCCAGAGCTGTCACCCATTGAAAATGTGTGTCTTATTAATCTCAAAATACATCAACATACTGTACTGTTGCACAGCTGAAGACTTGTATAACAGATGAATGCCAAAAAATAGGCTTTCAAAACTGGAACAGTTTCTGGCTTCAGTCCCTGAATGATTATGAAGTGTTGTAAGTGGTAAACATGCTCCTGTTTGGGAACGTGTTGCAGGCATCTTATTTCAAATTAGCATGTATTTACCAAACAATACTGAATTTTATAGGGTAAAACATAAAACACATTATTCTTTAACAGTTTTCTAAAATAATAAGTCAAAAAGAATATTTCACATACTGTCCCAACTTTTTTGGAATTGGGTTTGTACATTCTGCATCAATACTTTCTACTTTTTTGCATTTGTTTTGACATCAAGAAATAATAAAAATGTAAAAAAAATTTTCTTTTAACAAGACTGTACACAACATTAACTTTTCACCAAATTCAGATCATAATAAAATATCTCCTCTTCTATGTACAAACACAAATGTGTGGACTGAAAGTGTAGAATCTGCACTTTCCACATAATTTCTTTTACAAGTAAAATCTGTATTATATACTGCAGCAAAAATAAACACACACACACACTTTAAACATAATCGTCAGGTTAAGCTGGTAAATATCTTCTGTGTGTGTTGTTACTGCGAGCTAATGTGATGAAGTGATCCTGCTCTACTTTAAGCGCGCTGATCACACAGCCTGACCACAGCGCTTAGCTGCTAGGGGGGTTGTTGCCATAGCAACGGCTGCTCTCTCTTGCCGCCGCGCTACTTAAGTGATTAGCGCACACACTCGTGCTGGGGAGATTACACACTGTGAGACGCAGCGCCATTCTGGGACAGGAAGGCATGCACGCACACACACACACACACACACATGTACACACAAAATCCAAAATTCTAGTTGTTGTAACCGGTGTGTGTGAATGACGTAGTTGATAACAGTTTTGCTGGCCTGCTTAAACACAGTTCCAGGAACAACGTTGATGATATCAAAATACTTCACTCAAAATGGCTGCAGTGTGAGTCACAATACTGAAATCTTTTTAAAGAGAATGCCTCAAGTATAAAACAAGATACCAAAATCTTTTAAAGCTTCCAGTATGATTCAAAGAACCAAAATCTTTTAAAACAGAATGGAGGCAATCTCTTTTAAAAGATTTTGG